ACAAAGAAGAAATTTTAATGGACTATTTTTCAACCTTGAAAGGAAAAAACGTGATCGAGATTAGAATGGTAACGAAGATGCAAATAATTCTGAATCTATTATTTTTGTGTTATTTTGACGTCACAAAGACACAAAGAGTACCATATGCGTAGAAGAAAGTTTAATGCATCATTTCTCAACATTGATGGAAGAAAAATCAAGCAATAGAGAATGTTGCATGATTGTTTATTTTATCGAGTGTTTCTACCTAGTTTCATAATGAGTAAAAAGGAATGAGGTTGAAATGGTAACCAACATACGAATAGTTTGAATCTATTATTTTTGTATTGTTTTGATCACGTGAAAAAATAGGGTAGTATGGGCGTAGTTTTATATAATTCTCTGACACATATGAATGTAGAGATGTGCAAATTATGTACTATTCACAAGATTTTATCAACAGAAAATGCTTTATTGAGCCGTCAGACAGAGAGATAGAGACGAAAAATAAGTGAAACTTAGATTTTTTTTCAGTTCATCATAAAACTCTGTATGTTTTAGAAAAAAATCTTTAAAACTGGACAGAAAGTCAGATATCTTTTTTAATTTTCCTGACTAGTTTTTTTGAATTGTAGATTCAAAAATCTTCTTGCTCCTCTAAGAAAACATTCCATAGTAGTATGTCTCTTTGATGGTGATAAGTCCTTCAAAAAGCAATATCCTAGATACATATAGATTCTTTTCTTCGTTATTTTATGAATTTAAAAAGAGGTAACTTCGTTTGGTGCATTTATTTGAAACTACGCATCATTTTTAAGTGCCTGAATTGAATATTGATCAAGACTGAGGCTAAATACTTTCTTTATAATTTAATCCAAAGAAATTCTTCAAGATGTTTGAAGCATCGCGATGTTGGTATACATTAACAACGTTGAAAAAAGTATCGCAACCAAACTGTAGAATGAAGAAAGATGCAAACAATTTTGATAAGAAAAACAATTGTTACAAAGCGATTTCTTTTTTTCTTTTCTGTTATATTTTTCTAACTTTTTCTTTCGTTCTATGTTACTTTTATACATATGTGCTCTTTATGTTCTACTATTGACGTACCTTTCTAATGGACATCTGTTATGAATAAGACGAATAACTATTTTAATTCTTCTTTTTGTTCAATATCTTAAACAAAGACATGAAGAAGCTTCTGAAATTCTTCCTTGGTTTGTTTTTCTCCCTAATAAATATTTCATTTTCTTTTAACAAAAATGATATGAAAATCATTAGAATTTCTATTTTTATTCCATGGATTGAATAAGTCTTTGTGTTTCAATTATTTTCGAATGATTTGCAGGATAGATTTTATTTTGTATTTCCAGAGCTCTCAGATAATATGTCAACGCTTTCTCCTGTTCATTCCAGTAGAGACAACATTTTGCCAAGTTCATCAGACAGATGGATGTTATGAAATATTCCTGATGAACTTTTTTCTCCAAAATATGCAGTGCTCTCTTGTAGATTTGAAGTTTTTCGAGATCATCATTTGTATGAAGATCACCTAACTTCATTAAAAGATAAGCAATACTTGTATCATCTTCTTCAAGATGAATATACTGGAATGATAATTGTTCTTTACAAAATAGCATTGCTTGTCTTTCATTGCCTTGCTCTTGATATAAATTAACTAACGCTTTGATACATCGTATTTGACAATGATCATCAGGAAATAAAAATCTTCTACTTAGTTCAAATGCTAGTAAATAAAAATCTTCAGCATACTGATAATTTTTTTTCGCTAAATAAATATCACCAATAAAACCTTGACAATATATAATTTCTATTTGTGAATATGATTTTATTCGATGTAGAATATCTCGTATTTCGATACATAAATTCAAGGCATTATCAAATTCTTGATTTATCATATGAATATTTGCAATATTTAATTTGGCAATGATTTTATTATATTCATCATTATTACATTCCAATGCTTTCAAATAATAACTGTATGCTTGTGATATATTATCAATTGCTTTATAATAATTACCAATTCCATTGAACGTTACTGCAAAACTAGGGTGATTAGAACGTAATCGTGTCTTTTTTATATTCAATGCTATGCAAAAACTTGTATAGGCTTCATTCCAATTGGTAATACGCATATTAAGATCACCAATATGATCATAAACAGAAGCTAAATCTTCATGTTCTCTTGGTAAAATTGATAACATCATTCGAAAATAAGATTCAACTTTAGCATATTGTTTCATATCTAATAAAAGACGACCAAATAATAGATTAATATTACCTTTTTCAAACTTTTCTCGCATTATATCAAATCGATATTCTATTTGATATATATCTTCATCAGTAGCATTCATTTCAATTTTCCATACTTCCATATCATTATCATATTCGACATTTTCAATCCTAAATACTGATCCAATATTAAAAAGAACTTCATTCTCACCTATTTTTCCAGTATATTTATCTATATCAACAAAAATAATATTTTTTAATTGAGATGTATGAACTGTTATTTGAAATATAACAACTTTAAACTCATCAGTATCTTTTGCATCAGAAATAAATACTTGAGCAATGTCAATTTGTTGACTTGTAGAAAAAAATCCGTTTGTTGAAATTAATCCACCAATATTTGTTTTTAAATTTTCAAATTCTTTTTTCGGTAAATGTGCTTCACCACGATAGAGTATTAAATTATGTTGAATATTTTGTTCTTTATGAATTTTTTCTAATTGTTTACAAAGATCAACAATATAAAATCGAAAAAGATACCATAATGAAATATCTTCTGTTCGGAATGCACGATTAATTAAATGATAAACAAAACAATCTTCAATATACCAATCAATTGCTTTTTCTGAATTATAATATAAATGAAAATTATTAATTTTTTCTAATTCTTGTTTATCTCGTCGATAATAATCTTTACATTTATTTAACATAATTTCTTTCATTTGTTTTGTTTGTGGCATTTGTTTTAATAATTCAATAAATAAAATATAAGAAAAATAAGCGTCACCATTTCCAAGAATATTTTCTGAGGATGTTAACGTTCGAATAGTTTTATAAGTTTGCTTTTCAAATAAATTTAATTTTAACGATGAAATTTCACGTTCGATACAATTTTTTAATGTTTCATGATCAGTGCAAACATCAGTAACATTGATATATTTACTATTTAATTCAGAATATTTATTATAATTTCCACAAAATATAATTATCGTTGAAATAATGTCATGTATTTTTGGAAGAATTATTTGAGCAAATGAACCAGATATAACAACTAAGATTTTCATATTTTTATTCTTTAATATTTCAATCTGATTAAGAAATGGATTAATTTGATTAAAAAATAAACAATGATCATTATTTATTTGTCGAAGTAATGTCTTTGTACGTAATGTATCAAGTGTATCATCACCAGATTTTTCATCTAACCATATTAAAATTAATTCTTTATTTTTTTCTTCTTGTAATGAAAAACAACGTTTTATTGGTTTTAATGACAAATCATCTATTAGAATTTCTTCATCATTGATAATTGGTTTGGACAATATATCACCCATACTAAACAACCCACTAGATAAAAATACACCTATTCGAACTTTGTATAATCGAAAAAGGAAGAAGAAAAGTAAAACATGATATACACACACGCACTCTTTCAATTTTACCTATATAAACATTCAAAAAAAAATAAATAATTAATATCGTATATAAGTCATTGATTTTTTTTTTCATTAAAGCAAAAATCACATGCGTTAAAGCATAATTTGGCTACACGTGTAAGGAGAAAAATATAATAAATTATTTTTGATTAGGAGAATAAAACGATATTTTATCTTTTAAAACACATACGTACAAATAAAAAGTTATTGCAATTTGTTTACAGTAATGCGTCATCGACTTGAATGAAAACAAAATTCTCTTTTTTTTCTAATACAAATATGATTATGTCAAGGTTAGCTATCTTTTACAATAAGTAAATGAGTTGATTTATGATTCGAACAAACGTTGGTTTAGGTTTTTAATATGGGCATGAAAAATCTCGTTAGGCTTTTTCTAAGATAGAAAAACCTAAGAGGATCTTTCATGCCCTTGTTTGGAATCAGTATAATGAATAACCTCTATTTATTGTATGTATGGTATTCTTAATAGAAAACAAATTCTTTTTATTTATTCTAGATTAGCAAATATATTTAACAAATTCACTAAATCATTTTTATTCATTATTTGCTACTGCTGGACTATGTGGGATAACTTTCAGAATCTTCTCATTCCTCTGGAACCTATTTATGATCCAGAGCCATTTACAATTCGTAGTTTTCTTCTAATGCATCGTAAAATGATTATATATATAATTGTATTTATAATAATTATTTTTGTTTCAATATCTGTTATTGTACCACTTGTTATAACTCAAAAATTAAAACGGGACGAATCGGAAAGACAAAGTCAAAATATGCATACAGATTTAACAACTTCTATGTCAATGCCTAGTACACAAATAATAATTTCAATACCAACAGGTAAACTAATCATATTATTTGGTAGAATAGATTAATAATAGAGTAAAAGTGTTAAATTAATCAGGACTTTCTCGAAAAGTAATGACAAACGTATTCGAGAGTGATTGTCAATACTTTAAGTGACTAACACAGAAGATAAACTGAACCGTAACGAAACTGCTGTAATATACATCAATGTATGACTAAGGGAATAATCTTATAAACGTGTCATCTTTTTGAATTGAAGTTTTCTGTTATTCTCAATGAAAATGTAAGAAAAACCTTTCATTCATTTAGTTGGACCATGGGAAAATAGAAGAAATTTCTCTACAGAAAACTGTTCACTTCCGTTAATTCCTGTATATTATGAAGCAGGTGATGTGAAACCTGATGATCAATATATCAACCAATTGTACAGAATTTTAGATCTTTTTCTGGATCAAAATGATAATTTATATGCCGTAGATGCATACAATAATCGTATTTTAAAGTATAAATCATATTCAAGAGAAGAAAGTATAGCTGCCGGAAATGGAGTCGATACTCGTCCAGAACTCCGCTATCCGACAGCAATATTTGTTGATCAAAATGAAAATATGTATATTGTTGATCATAATGTTAATAATTCATATCGCGTAATATTCTGGCCGAATAATTCCAGAGAAGGTATTGTTATTATTAATAATACCAATAGTCTTTGTTTTGGTATTTCCTTGGATTGGAATTTAAATATATTTACATCTGAATATAATAATGGTAGAGTGGTAAAATGGTTGACACCATTTTATGAGAATTACAGTGTCGTAGCTGGAAATGGAACTATAGGTAATCAAGCAAATCAATTAAATTCTCCACGTGCCATTTATCTACATTATATTAATGATGATTTATATATTATGGATGAGGGAAATAATCGAACACAACGATGGTCTTCTGGAGCAAAAGCTGGTATTACTGTTGCAGAAGATGTTACAAATTCAGTAGATATCGCTGTTGATTGTCACAACAATTTGTATATTGTTGATGGATTACATAGTATTATCAAATATTATGGATCAACTGCAATAACAGGTTTAGAAGGCATTACCATTATAAGTACTCATAATACAGATTCCATCTATGGATTAAATCGTTTAAAAGCCATAGCCTTTGACTCAACAAATGGTAACATCTACATTGCAAATTCATATAATTCAATCAAAAGTTATTTTATCGACAGTGAACTCAGTGTACAAGGTATGTCTATCACTTATTCTTAATTAGATTTAATACTATTGCCAAGGTGTTATTAATGACAGTAAAACTGAACATTGATATCTGATCTTAAATATGAAACAGATTGAAAATTTGCAACGTTTTTCATAGTGCGAAAAAACAATTTCTAATATTAAAATGCGCATCATTAATTCCAAATAATCCTTGTTCTATATTGAGTACCATAAAAGTGTAAATATTTGTTTTCATAGCTAATGGAACACAAAATATTACATTATCAGTACCAGCATGTCTTATATCAAAGAATAGTAGGTGGACTCAAACACCTAATATCTTGATTGGAAATAATTCAATTTGTGGTTCAGATGATGATCAGTTGTGCCATCCGAGTGATTTATTCTTAGATATACATAACAATATTTACATTGCAGATACAAACAATGATCGTATTCAAAGATATGATTTTTTAAATAAAACTATTTCAACTGTTCCTTATTATGGATTAACATCACCTTCATCTGTGCTTGTGAATAGTTATACGAATGATTTGTACATATTAGATTATGATCAAAGTAACTATTTTCAACAATATTATAGAATAAAATATTGGCAGAGTGAATTATTATTCGGAAAAATTATTATTAATAATAATGAAAAGAAATCATTTACTTCGGATGTTGCTTATGCATTCTTAGATAAATATTTGAATATTTACATATCAGAATATAATAATGGATATATTAGAAAATGGTTATCACCACACTATATCTATAGTACAATTGTAGCTAAAAATACAACAACAAATGCAGAGAAGAACAATAATATGGCTCCTCGAGGTTTATTTCTTGATGAAAATGATATTTTATATTTCTATGATGATAATAATTCTCAAATACAAAAATGGTCTATCGGTTCAACAAATGGTTTGACATTGATTTCAAATTTACCTTCAACCGAACGTATTACATCAGATTGTTATGGAAATATTTATTTTGGATCTAATTCAAATCATAATATTTATCAATATGATATTTTATCTCGTCAATTGAAAATCATTATTATGGCTAAGAATACATCATATATTGGTGCCATTAAACTGGATACATTAGGAAATCTATATGTTATAGATACTTATAATAATCAATTACTCAAATACTCAATTTTATAATAAACACGAACATTTCATTTATTTTCCTTAATCAAGATCAAATATTTCAAAATTTTGCTTTTTTTCGTTTGCAATACATTTAAATAGACAAAGATATGGGTTATACAAACGCACTAAGAAAGTCCCCATGGACTTGATTCGGTAATGTTGAAGCGACGGACAAGAGACTGGGTGTTATTTGCATTACCATACACACCCACATCGAAATACAAAAAACTATTTCATTCCTTCATTGTAGTTGTCTATAAAATTTAATGAGAGGTACTTTAAATAAATCCTTTTAATTATATAATTCAAGTCACTGCTTCCAGTTTATCACATCGCATTGTTAATTAAATCTAAGTTGTTACATGCCTTTTCATTTTATTCTATTGGTCGCGAAGATAAATGCATAGTTTGTAACTAATAATATATGATTCTATTTTATTTTTATTACAACACAACAATGAATATAAAAAAAGATGTTGTTTACTGAACACCCACTCGATTTTTTGTAGTGAATCTCATAACTGGTGGCGCACGGCCAACACCATTTGTTTGTCTGTGGAGTTTGAAGATTTTGATTAATTTAGTACGAAGTTCAGATAATGATAAAGCACAAACAAAAGGAAATAGAAGTACGGTAAGATAAGTCAAAAATATACTATAATTTAAAAGGACTCGAATGTTGCTCCTCGATATTCCACATAGATTCACAATATAGACTGTTGTAAATGGCAAATAACATATAAGAAAAAGAATTGAAGTAGATAATAACTGAATTGTCATCTTTCGATGTTTTCGCCAATCTACAGCTCGATGAATTCTATATTTTTGCCAAACAACACGTACAAGTAAAGCAATACTAAATATAATAATTATTAGAACAGTTACAATTTGATGAATTATTCCATCCCATATGATTATGAAATTAGCCGAGAGTAAACATGGAAAAAAACAAATCATTGAAGATTCAAAAATCACTGTTTCACAAGGTGAAAAAAAATAAATAATAATATAGAAAATAAGACCATATAAAATAAGGAAAACTATAGGAAGATAATGAAGAAACATTCTTTTTGTTTTAGTCGATACCCATCGATCATGAAAGATAAGAATATGTCTTTCAATTGTAGCCCATGCAAGAAGTATTATATAAAGGACAAAAACTCCCCAATCAAGAAATCCCCATATTTGACAAAAAATAACTGATCGTTGCCATATACCATTAAAGTGATAATAAAAAAGCATCCATGGATATATTGTTACTTCAAGAAGTAAACCAATGAAAAGAAGAACAATGAAAATATGATTATTAAGAGCAAGACGTAGAGTACGAATGAACAAAAGATTATAGAGAACAAATACTGAACAAATAATTGATGGAATAAGAAGAAGAAGATATGACCAAAATCGTATTGAATCCATTATTATACTAATGAACTACTTGTTTTGAAAGTTAGATAAGAGAAAAAGTATTCAAATGAAGCTCAGAATGCAAAAAAATGACAGATAAATAAAAGTTTTCTTCGCATGTTTTTTTTCAAAATTCCATTTCATTTCACTAAGTTGTGTCTTTGTCGGTAACGTCCGATGTAGATATTTTTGGCCTCCAAATGTCTCTGAAACGCTAACAGTGAACGCATCTCCAATGAATCAACGAAGCGTTTAAACACAATTTATTTTAGAAACGCGT